TGCTGCCGCCGTTGCTGCCACTGTGCTGCCGCTGTGCACCGCCATGTTGCTGCCACCGTTGCTGCTGCTGTGCTGCCACTGTGCTGCCACGTGCTCCACCAGTTGCCTGCCACCATCCTTCCACCATTGCCTGCCACCGGCCTGCACTGTTACTGCCATCACTCCGATTCCACTGTGCTGCCACCATTGCTGCCAGTACTGCCACACTGCCTGCATTGCTGCCACCGCCATTACTGCCGCCAATGCACGACCACCATCACTCCCACCATTACTGCCACCATTGCTATCACCATTACTGCCACCATTACTGCCACCATTGCTGCCATTACTGCCGCCATTGCTACCACTGTACTGCCACCGTTGCTGCCGATCACTCACCGTCGCTCCCGCCATTGCTGCCGCCGTTGCACGCCGCCATTGCTGCCGCCATTGCTGCCACTGTGCTGCCACTGTGCTGCCATTGCTGCCACTGTGCCTCACCGGTACTGCCGCCATCGCTCCCGCCATTGCTGCCGCCATCGCTCCGCCATGCCTGCCGCCGTCGCTGCCCTGTGCCTGCCGCCATTGCACCCTGCCGCCGTCCCAGCTCGCCATTGCTACCACCGTTCCTTGCCACCATCACTCCCACCATTGTGCCGCCATTGCTGCCGTACTGCCGCCATTGCTGCCACTGTTGCTGCCGCCGTTCTCCCACCATTGCTGCATAATCCTCACTGGGTGCTGCAGGTGCTGCCACTGTGCTGCCACTGTTATGCCACTTAGCCACTGCCGCCCATTGCTCCACCCAGTACTGCTGTCACTTACTGCTGCCACTGTACTGCACTATTACTGCCACCGTACTGCCACTGTTACTGCCACCAGTACTACCACCATTACTACCACTATTACTACCACCATTACTACCACTATTACTACCACCATTACTACCACCATTTGCTACTACTATTTCCTACCATTACTACCACCATCACCACAGCCATCAGCCAGCACTGCCTGCATCACCACCAGTCTTCCCACCTCCACAGCACCCTAACTACATCCTAAAACATCCTAACTACATCCTCCACAACATCCACCACTGCAACCTTGCAGCGTCCTAACTACATCCTTAACATCCTAACGACATCCTTCAGCACCATGACAGCAGTTCCCAGCATTTATCACACAGCTCACAGCAGCCTCCACAGCGCACCTTTACAGCAAACGTCACAGCATCTCTAGTCTGGCATTCCTCACTTGTTGAACCGGGTTGGAAGAGAAGGAGAGACTGATGATGAAGAGGAGGAGGTGGAGAGAGGGATGGAGGAGTGGGCGAATGATGCTGGTGGTAGAGGAAGGGAGTTAAGGAAGGAAAATCAGAACGAGGATGAGAGAGAGAGAAGAGGAAACAAGGCATCATATAATCGCGTGAGGCCATATTAGCGGTCATTATTGAATCAAACGACCCATCACTTAACAATTAGGTCAAATATGTAACCAGTAAAGTTATTTAATGACCCGTTGTTGAGGATCTAGTCGAGGAGATTAATTTATAACGTTTGAGTATTAATTCAGGAAAATATATTCATGTAGAATTTGGTGCAGACATTTTATATTGAAATTAATATAAGAAATGAATGATAAATAATATACGTTACCTGAAATACTGTACACAGGTGAAATAATAGTATTATAGGTACAGTTTTACTGGGGGAGAAGATAGTTTTATTTAACCTAGCCTAAACACAAAGCAATTCAGCAAGCCTAGCACTCAACCTAACCTAAATCTGGCTTATTTAACCTAGCAAATCAAGCAATGCGGCCGAACTGGCTTGGATTCGGCTTGCCTAGCTTGAATTTCGGCCTGGCCTTGGCCTGGCTGCTCCAGCCTGGCACAGAGCCTGGGCTGTGCGGCCTGGCAGGCCTGGCAATTCGCCTGGCGCAGGCCTGAGCGATTTCCAGCTGGCCAAACTGGCTTCACTCGAGCTTAGCACGAGACCTGGCTGCGCCAGCCTGGCAGAGCCTGAGCGTTCAGCCTGGCCTAAGCTGGCTGAATTCGGCCTGGCACAAACTGCTAAGCAATTCAGCCTGGCCTGAAGTCAGGCTGTCGGCCTGGCATGGCCTGGCTGCACTCCAGCTGGCCTAAGCAGCTGCTCAGCCTAGCCCAAGCCTGAAGCGATTCGAGCCTGGCAAGCCTGAAAGCGGCCTAAACTGAAGCCTCAGAGCGAGTTCAGCTGGCCTGAAGCCTGAAGCAGATTTCAGCCTGGCAGAGCTGAAGGCGAGTTTCGGCCTGGCACAAAGCCTGAAGCGATTCAGCCTGGCAGAGCGCAGGCAGTTCGGCCTGGCCTGGCCCTGGCTGACCTGGCACAGACCTGGACAACACAGCCTCGGTGAGGTGAGAGAGCATCTACAATGATTCTACTTCGCGTCCCAGTATATTTCCATCTCCCATCCCAGGTCATCGGCTCTTTACTGGGCAGCCTCAGCACACACACACACACACACACACACACACACACACACACACACACACACACACACACACACACACAGAAGGACGGGGAGATAGATCGATATATAGATGAGACGGGGAGGCAGACGAACAGACAGAAAACAGACGGACATACGGACGGACGGGGAGGCAGAGCAGACAGGAAACAGACAGACATACGGACGGACGAAACATACAGACGGGGAAGACAGACAGACAGACAGACGGACCGGGGAAGACAGACAGGCGGACGGATGGTTAAACAGACAGACAGATAGACGGACGGGGGCAGATAGACTAACACATACATATTTTTCACAGGTATAACAAGATTAATATTCCGATCTATTGAAAGAATACAAGTGTTAGCAAGTGTGTAATGCTTCAGGTGTGCAATTTCCAGGTGTGTTATGCCAGGTGTGTAATATTTCAGGTGTGTTATGCTTCAGGTGTGTAATATTTCAGGTGTGTTATGCTTCAGGTGTGTAATATTTCAGGTGTGTTATGCTTCAGGTGTGTAATATTTCAGGTGTTTAATGCTTCAGGTGTGTGATATTTCAGGTGCGTAATATTTTCAGGTGTGTGTAATGTTTCCAGGTGTGTAGTGATTCAGGTGTGTGATGCTTCAGGTGTGTATATTTCAGGTGTTTAATGCTTCCAGGTGTGTAATGCTCCAGGTGTCTCCAGGTGTTATGCTTCAGGTGTGTAACAGTTCAGGTGTGTAATATTTCAGGTGTGTAATATTTCAGGTGTGTAATATTTCCAGGTATTGTAATACTTCAGGTGTGTATTACTTCAGGTGTGTAATATTTCACGTGTAATATTTCACGTGTGTAATATTTCGTGTGAGTCTCCGGAGTGTGTATTTCTGGTGTGTAATGATCCAGGTGTATAATGATCCAGGTGTGTTATAGTCAGGTGTGTAATGTTCCAGGTGTGTAATGCTTCAGGTGTGTAATGCTTCAGGTGTGTAATGCTTCAGGTGCGTAATGTTTCAGTGTGTAATACTCCAGGTGTGTAATATGTCAGGTGTGTAATATTTCAGGTATGTAATGTTTCCAGTTTATTGTAATGCTTCAAGGTTGTATATTTCAGGGTGTAATGCTTCTGGTATAATGTTTCCAGTGTAATGTATCTCTCAGGTGTGTAATACTTCAGGTGTGTAATGATACAGATGTGTAATACAGCAGGTGTGTGTTACAGGTGTGTATGTCTCCAGGTGTGTATGCATCAGGTGCGTAATGCTTGGTGTGTAATATTTCCAGGTGTGTAATGCATCAGGTGTGTATTATTTCAGGTGTGTAATGCATCAGGTGCGTAATGCTTCAGGTGTTAACCAGGTGCGTAATGCTTCAGGTGTTAATATTTCAGGTGTGTAATGCATCAGGTGTATATAATGTTTCAGTTGTGTAATGCTTCAGGTGCGTAATGTTTCAGGTATGTATGCTCCAGGTGTGCAATGCTTCAGGTGTATTATGCTCCAGTGCGTAATGCTTCAGGTGTGTAATATTTCAGGTGTATATGCATCAGGTGTGTTTGGCATATAAACACTGCAGCAGAATATTCATAAAACATTTGCATATATTTCTCCAATGATCCGCGTGTCCCGGTAATTGTGAAGTCACCATCAGGACACAAAATACTTTACCAGAATTATATTATATATTAAGTGTATTAACCTATAATATATAATAATAATATAGGTATATTAAGATGTATTTTATAATATATAATAATAATATAATGTCATGAATTTATAACGTGTAGTGTAGTCGATATTTTTGTGAATATCTTATGTATTGTGGTGAAATATATGTTTTATTTTCAAACGTTAAAAATTAATCTGAAGGGAGGAGAGAAGGAAAGAGGAGAAGAGAGAAAAGAAGGAGAAGAGGAGAGAGAGAAGGAGGAAAAATGACGAAAAGGAGGAAGGAAGAAGAGAGAGGGGAGGGAAAGAGGAAGAAGAGGTGGGATAAATGATAACTGTAACTGATGAACGAAAAGTAAGAGGACGGAATGGAAGGAGGAAAGAGGGCGGAAAGAGAGACAGGGAAAAGACGGAGAGGAGAAATAGAAAGTGGGAAGAGGAGGAAAAAGACAAAAGCAAACAGAGGAGAAGGAGAAAGAAGGGATAGAAAGTAGGGAGGCAGGAGAGAGAGAGAGAAGTAATAATAATAATAATAATAATAATAATAATAATAATAATAATAATAATAATAATAGCCAATAATAATAATAAATAATAATAATAATAACAACAATAATAATAATAATAATAATAATAATAATAATAATAATAATAATAATAATAATAATAATATAAAATTGACATCGACATAAAATTTAAGAACAAAATATACGACTTCACATAAACATAAAAAATTCCCTATATTATACTGTATATATCACTAACAGTCGTGTACAATACAAGTTACTACAAAAGAACATGATCTGTACACGATAGATACAATGTTGTACTTGTGATGATACGGTAGTGGTAGAGTACAAGAGGAATAGTACATGTACTTACCAGGTGTAGTCGGGAAGCTGGCGGGAGGGCATTTCTTCACCTCATCTGGCGGTACACCTGATGAGAGACACAGGTGAGTAAGTAAATAATTAATTAGTATTATGAACAAATAAACATTGACACAAATACATAATAGACAATAGCCAAATCAAACACGAATTCGTCAATGATTCACTAATATTTAAACGATACAAACACGTTAAGCACACACACACACACACACACACACACACACACACACACACACACAAACTTCCTCCCCTCAGGAACTGCGTCAAGATCCTCAAGCACTGTCAATGATAAGGACAAATACTTGAGATGTTAACTGTTGAAGCGGGACTACACCTAATGGGTCCTTAACCTAACCTAACCATTAAGATACACACGTAATGATAATGGGTGGTCCTAATAATAATGGGTGGTCCTAATGATAATGGGTGGTCCTAATGATAATGGGTGGTCCTAATGATAATGGGTGATCGTAATGATAATGGGTGATTCTAATGATAATGGGCACTAATGACAATGAACCCTAGTTCAAATGGTTACGTTGTGACGGGCATAATTGACTTGGGCCAATTAAGACTGGGGCCCGGCGGAACTTGGCCTCGTTCGGATTAAGGGCCAATAAAACTTGGGCCCATTAAGACTAGAACCCATTAGGAGTAAGACCTATTAAAACTTGGGTCCATTAAAACTAGGATCCATTAGAATTTGGGTCCATTAAAACTAGGACCCATTAGAATTGGGGTCCATTAACACTAGGACCCATTAGAATTTGGGTCCATTAAAACTATGACCCATTAGAATTTGGATCCATTAAAACTAGGACCCATTAGAATTTGGGTCCATTAAAACTAGGTCCCATTAGAATTTGGGTCCATTAAAACTAAGACCCATTAGAATTTGGGTCCATTAAAACTAGGACCCATTAGAATTTGGGTCCATTAAAACTAGGACCCATTAGGTTTGATTCCCATTATCCTACACGTTTGAAGACCACCGAGTTAGCTGTGAGAGTTGAAAGGCCACTGGCTCAGTCATCCAGTACATCAATATAAGGTGAATTATTATTAATGGTTTTCCAGACTGGATATATGAGGCTCCTGTACTAAGCAGTCAAGGGCGCTTCTGTACCTCTCTCTCCCTGTAGTCGTTTATTAAGGACGTCGGGTGGCATTTAAAAATATTCTGTGATCTTCAAAGGGTATGTGTGGTAATGGTTTATCCAGGGTCATGCTGAGGCCTAAGGATCTTTAGGGAACAGTTTTGAAGTTCTTAGATCTTTAGGGATCAGTTCTAAAGTTCTTGGATCTTCAGGGATCAGTTCTGAAGCTATATGATCTTCAGGGATCAGTTCTGAAGCCATATGATCTTCAGGGATCAGTTCTGAAGCTATATGATCTTCAGGGATCAGTTCTGAAGCCATATGATCTTCAGGGATCAGTTCTGAAGCTATATGATCTTCAGGGAACATTTCTGAAGTTCTTGGATCTTCAAGACTCAGGTTTGGTGCTGTAGGAGGCTTAAGAACAATTCTGTATAGAATCCGTGTGATCTTCAAGGGGTTGTTATGATTTACAAGGAGTCTTAAGGAGTCTCAAGGAACAGTGATGAAGCTACGTGACTTTCCTTCCTTCCTTCCTTCCTTGGTCACTTAGTTCCCTCTTCTTCCAAAACATTAAAGAGACCTAACGTATATAAAGCCCCACCCACTTCTAACTAATAGACCAATCACGTGCAGGTATACCCCAAATATTTACCTATCAGCTCAGTGAACGCAAACAAAGGTTATAGTGGCGGCTCAACACACTGATTAACTCCCCAAAAATATCGTCGATGGATATTAAAAGCAGTCGGGGGCTAAGGTATCATGGTGATTAGTGCCGTCCAGGTGTTTATCGAGAATCACTACAGGTGATTTTCAAGTAATAGTTATAATACTCGTGGATCAAGTACGAGATAGTGATGAAAGGAAGACTTTTGCCGTAGACTTTTCTTTACACACACACACACACACGGATACACACACACGGACATGAGAGAGAGAGAGAGAGAGAGACGCTCCTCACCTCGGCCAAAACACTCCGGGGACAGCGTGAAGTCATCGAAACCCAAGTCGCCGCGGAACCTGGAGCCTCTAACGTTAGCCACGATGATCTGGTACCTGAAGAGACGAGAGGTAAACACTGGTCAGGTGGACGAGAGGTAAACACTGGACAGGTGGACGAGAGGTAAACACTGGTCAGGTGGACGAGAGGTAAACACTGGTCAGGTGGACGAGAGGTAAACACTGGTCAGGTGGACGAGGGGTAAACACTGGTCAGGTGGACGAGGGGTAAACACTGGTCAGGTGGACGAGGGGTAAACACTGGTCAGGTGGACGAGAGGCAAACACTGGTCAGGCGGACGAGAGGTAAACACTGTCAGGTGGACGAGAGGTAAACACTGGTCAGGTGGACGAGAGGTAAACACTGGTCAGGTGGACGAGAGGTAACACTGGTCAGGTGGACGAGAGTAAACACTGGTCAGGTGGACGAGAGGAACACTGGTCAGGGTGGGACGAGAGGTAAACACTGGTCAGGTGGACGAGAGGTAAACACTGGTCAGGTGGACGAGAGGTAAACACTGGTCAGGTGGACGAGAGGTAAACACTGGTCAGGTGGACGAGAGGTAAACACTGGTCAGGTGGACGAGGGGTAAACACTGGTCAGGTGGACGAGAGGTAAACACTGGTCAGGTGGACGAGAGGTAAACACTGGTCAGGTGGACGAGAGGTAAACACTGGTCAGGTGGACGAGAGGTAAACACTGGTCAGGTGGACGAGAGGTAAACACTGGTCAGGTGGACGAGAGGGTAAACACTGGTCAGGTGGACGAGAGGTAAACACTGGCCTCAGGTGGGACGAGAGGTAAACTGGTCAGTGGACTAGAGGTAAACACTGGTCAGTGGACAGAGGTAAACACTGGTCAGGGTGGACGAGAGGTAAACACTGGTCAGGTGGACGAGAGGTAAACACTGGTCAGGTGGACGAGAGGTAAACTTAACCACAAGGTTAAGGTACTCAAGGGGTTAGGTTATAGTACTCAAGGGGTTAAGTTATAGTACTCAAGGGGTTAGGGGTTCCGTCATCGTCCTTTGATACGGTCCCTCACCCGGCACTGTCCCTCACCCGGCACTGTCCCTCACCTGACACTGTCCCTCACCTAGTCTGGTCCCTCACCTGGCACTGTCCCTCACCTGGCACTGTCCCTCACCTAGTCTGGTCCCTCACCTGGCACTGTCACTCACCTAGTCTGGTCTCTCACCTGACACTGTCCCTCACTACCCCTCGCCTAGTCTGGTCCCTCACCTGGAACTGTCCCTCACCTGACACTGTCCCTTTCCCTCACCTGACACTGTCCCTCACCTAGTCTGGTCCCTCACCTGGCACTGTCCCTCACCTGGCACTGTCCCTCACCTAGTCTGGTCCCTCACCTGGCACTGTCACTCACCTAGTCTGGTCTCTCACCTGACACTGTCCCTCACTACCCCTCGCCTAGTCTGGTCCCTCACCTGGAACTGTCCCTCACCTGACACTGTCCCTCACCTAGTAGTCTGGTCCCTCACCCGGCACTGTCCCTCACCTGTAGCGTATCTCGTGAGGTAAGACATGGTCGAGACGCTGCCACTTGTCGCCCTGGTCGCCGGTGATCTGGTCGATCTGGTAGACTCGGCCGCCGTTCACCTTAGGGTTCTCTTCCCTCGCCTTGATGATCATGGAGCCTTGGTTACGTCCCAGCTTGTGGTAGTACAGCCGGATCTGTCATAACACACACACACCAACGTTAAGGGTGTTGTACCATCATCAATAATAATAATAACACACACACACACACAATAATATATATATATATATATATATATATATATATATATATATATATATATATATATATATATATATATATATATATATATATATATATATATATATATATATATATATATATATATATATATATAAGAATAACACCATCCCATCTATTGTTAAATTAATAAACAACTCCTGATTCATGTACTGTACAGCCCTGTAAATGTATTGAATGTATATTATTATGTCTAAATCACATGTAAGTTTGTATATTTTCAGCCACCGGCGGCAACTCTATTAATAAACCGTTTATTATTATTATTTTACAACACACACACACACACACACTTGTGAGAAATAATTCAGTTAATGAACGTGAGATAATTAGACCCAGGTGTGTACAATGGGTCCCAGGCGTGTAGGGCAGATTCTAGGTAACAACCACCACCACCACAACAACCTCGTGTGACTTACTTTGCAGCTCTCGAAGAAGGGGGAGTCCTTGTTGCCATGGTAACAGGGGGGAGGGTCAAAGTAAGGGGACTCTAAGACACCGAGGTCCCCCATCTTGCCCGTCTGGGGAAGCTCACTCAGGAGGTAGTAGCCTGCAGGGTAAGAGAAGGTCAGAGTAGGTCATGTTTGATTAAGTTAGGTTAAGTGATTAGTGTTTACTCTGATTTGACAATTAACACAGAAATACATCTTCAATGGTATTAACTTTTCAAGGATTAAGGTTTAAATTAACATCGTTAAGAGGTTAAGTCATCTTTCGTTTGAGGTTAAACCAGCGTGCTGAAGGTGTTAAGCCATCATCCTTGAGAGAGAGAGAGACTTACCAGAGTCATTCTTATAGGTATGGTCGTTGGAGGGGCCCGTACGTTCCTTCTGAGTGTTGCCGTGATGCCTGTGGAAGTCCATATGATCGTCACCGGCGTTCTTCCAGCCGCACCAGTCGCTCTCGAAGTCACACCTAGACCCTTCAGGTTCCAGGGCTGCCGGGGAGTGAGATGAGGAGGAGTCAGTGGTACTTCATTATTATTATCATACAATATACAACAATACAGCGAGGACAATATACAAGAAAATAAGCTGAACATACAACATAATAACAACCACCACATACAACACAGCGAGAACAAACATACTCACCACATGTGGACTCGTCCTCGCCTCCCGGACAGTTCTTGGTTATGTCACAAATGTTATTACGCCTCACACACTCGCCCGTGCCACACCGTATGCCTTGACACACCTCCAACGGGCCGGGGTTGTGGTCTGTTGAGATCAAAACAAACCAATTAGTTGTGTTTATTTGTGATAGTGAGATTATGAGCTGTAAGGTCGTGAGATTTGCAGGGTCGTTCGATTGGGGGGTCGTGGGGTTGGCGGTGAGTGGGATTGGGGTCGTGGATGGGGGTCGTGGGATTGGGGTCGTGGGATTGGGGGTCGTGGTTGGGTGGTCGTGGGATTGGCGGTCGTGGGGTTGGGTGGTCGTGGGGTTGGGTAGTCGTGGGGTTGGGTAGTCGTGGGGTTGGGTGGTCGTGGATTGGCGGTCGTGGGGTTTGGGTGGTCGTGGGGTTGGGTAGTCGTAGGGTTGGGTAGTCGTGGGGTTGGGTGGTTGGGATTGGGGGTCGTGGGATTGGGGGTCGTGGGATTGGGTGGTCGTGGGGTTGGGTGGTCGTGGGGTTGGGTGGTCGTGGGGTTGGGTGGTCGTGGGGTTGGGGGTCGTGGGATTGGGTGGTCGTGGGATTGGGTGGTCGTGGGGTTGGGTAGTCGTGGGGTTGGGTGGTCGTGGAATTGGCGGTCGTGGGGTTGGGTGGTCGTGGGGTTGGGTAGTCGTGGGGTTGGGTAGTCGTGGGGTTGGGTGGTCGTGGGTTGGGTGGTCGTGGGGTTGGGTGGTCGTGGGGCTGGGTGGTCGTGGGGTTGGGTGGTCGTGGGGTTGGGTGGTCGTGGGGTTGGGTGGTCGTGGGGTTGGGTGGTCGTGGGGTTGGGTGGTCGTGGGGTTGGGTGGTCGTGGGGTTGGGTGGTCGTGGGGTTGGGTGGTCGTGGGGTTGGGTGGTCGTGGGGTTGGGTGGTCGTGGGATTGGCGGTCGTGGGGTTGGGTGGTCGTGGGTTGGGTGGTCGTGGGGTTGGGTGGTCGTGGGGTGGGATTGGGGGTCGTGGGATTGGGGTCGTGGGGATTGGGTGGTCGTGGGGTTGGGTGGTCGTGGGGTTGGGTGGTCGTGGGGTTGGGTGGTCGTGGGGTTGGGTGGTCGTGGGGTTGGGTGGTCGTGGGGGTTGGGTGGTCGTGGGGTTGGGTGGTCGTGGGGTTGGGTGGTCGTGGAGTTGGGTGGTCGTGGGGTTGGGTGGTCGTGGGGTTGGGTGTGGTCGTGGAGTTGGGTGGTCGTGGGGTTGGGTGGTCGTGGGGTTGGGTGGTCGTGGGGGTTGGGTGGTCGTGGGATTGGCGGTCGTGGGGTTGGGTTGGTCGTGGGGTTGATGGTCGTGGGGTGGGATTGGGGGTCGTGGTTGGGGTCGTGGGATTGGGTGGTCGTGGGGGTTGGGTGGTGTCGTGGGGTTGGGTGGTCGTGGGGTTGGGTGGTCGTGGGGTTGGGTGGTGTGGGTTTGGTCGGGTTGGGTGGTGTGGGGTCGTGGGGTTGGGTGGTGTAGGTTGGGTGGTCGTAGGTTGGGTGGTCGTGGGTTGGGTGGTCGTGGGTTGGGTGGTCGTGGGGTTGGGTGGTCGTGGGGTTGGGTGGTCGTGGGGTTGGGTGGTCGTTGGGGTTGGGTGGTCGTGGGGTTGGGTGGTCGTGGGGTTGGGTGGTCGTGGGGTTGGGTGGTCGTGGGGGTTGGGTGGTCGTGGGGTTGGGTGGTCGTGGGGTTGGGTGGTCGTGGGGTTTGGGTGGTCGTGGGGTTGGGTGGTCGTGGGGTTGGGTGGTCGTGGGGTTGGGTGGTGTGGGGTTGGGTGGTCGTGGGGTTGGGTGGTCGTGGAGTTGGTGGTCGTGGGGTTAGTTGGTCGTGGGTTGGGTGGTCGTGGGTTGGGTTGGTCGTGGTGTTGGGTGGTCGTGGTTGGGTGGTCGTAGGGTTGGGTGTGGTGGGGTTGGGTGGTCGTGGGGTTGGGTGGTCCGTGGGGTTGGGTGGTCGTGGGTTGGTGGTGTGATTGTTGGTGGTCGTGGGATTATTCTATTGAGATTGTGAGGAGGTTGTACGATTCTCAGGGTGTGGGATGGTGAGATTGTGAAGCTCTGTAATTGGGGAGAGTTCATCATGGGGTCAGAGGTCATATCATGATGTCAGAGGCCATATATCATGGGGTCAGGGTCATATTCATGATGTCAGAGGTCATATCATGATGTCAGGGGTCATATCATGGGGTCAGAGGTCATATCATGGGGTTTAAGCTATGAATATCATGAGTAGATGCATTATAATCATTACAAAGGTCTATGGTAACCAGGTAAGACATTCAATATACTCCAGGTGATGTGATAACTGAAGGGGAGGAAGATCTTTTAGACCTATGTTAAGGTTTGTCATGAATGGAATTAATGTGCACAAATTACCTGAACACTTGGTTATATTCTGGCAGTTACTTCCGGGTCATGTGAAGTTAACGAGGACACTCACTAAAACATCGACCAGTCTTATGTTGTCAGCCACATGTAATGCTTTTAAACATATATACCCAGTCAAACTCTTGTTCTTGACATCCTCTTATCTGGGAGGGAGGAACAGTTATGTATTATACACTGATCAGGTTATAGGTATACATTAACAACACAATATAGATTAACCTCAAGTCTCATCTCAACATATAGTAATAATACATATATACACATTAAACATATAAATATTAGTTATGTATAGATGTATAGAAAAATATACATGATAATAATTACAAAATATAATAGTATCACTGTGTATACATATTCATAACATGAGGTGAATTACTGTACTGAGTCAAGTAATGGGCCTCAGGTGTTGACAAATGTATATTGATGAGTTAAAATGTAGACTAATCTTTCTCACCTGCCCCCTCCCTCCTCTCTTTCTCTTTCTGTCTCATTTCTCTCCCCTTCTCTCTCTCTCCCAAATACATACATAAACACAGACACAAATCACACACAGATATACCCACACACACCCACTACACACACACCAGATATACCCACACACACACATGAACTTTACAGCCCAAGTTGTTAGAGTCAGGGTTTACACAAACAAAATTGAATGTAAGCACAGCCTTCTCTATCCACACCCACCCTTACAGCTTTCTCTGTCTGTCTGTCTGTCTGTCTGTCTGTCTGCTAATGGCCTTATTCTGTTTCTGTCTGTTAATGCTTAAGTATCTCTCAATCGTCTCTGCCTGTCTGTTGTCTGTCAATCGTCTATTTGTGTGTCTGTCTGTCAATCTTTTTTATCTGTGTCTGTAAATCGTCTCTATCTGCCTGTGTCTGTCAATCGTTTCTATCTGTCTGTCTCTCTGTCAATCGTCTCTATCTGTCTGTGTCTGTCAATCGTTTCTATCTGTCTGTGTCTAATCGTCTCTATCTGTCTGTGTCTGTCAATCGTCTCCATTTGTTATCTGTCATCCGTTCTCTATCTGTCTGTGTCTGTCAATCGTCTCTATTTGTGTGTCTGTCTGTCAATCGTTTTATCTGTGTCTGTCAATCGTCCTCTGCTTGGTGTCTGTCAATCGTTTCTATCTGTCTGTCTCTGTCAATCGTCTCTATCTGTCTGTGTCTGTCAATCGTTTCATCTGTCTGTCTGTCTGTCAATCGTCTCTATCTGTCTGTCATCCAATCGCCTCTGTCTGTGTGTGTCTGTCAACTGTCTTCATACACTTATTATCAGGCTTTAAAAAATATGGTAGCCTACACACCCAAAGCGCGCTTGCATGCCCTTACTACCTGGACACAGGTCCAGCCTGTCACCTCTCCGCCCTTCCCTCATAAGAACCGAGTATAATCTTGTGCCTGAGACCAAATCAAGAATGTTCCGGAGGCAGACGTAACACCATCTTAAGGTGCAGATCATTATGCCGGGTGACAGACATTGTTGTCTGTTCTAACAGTGCAAAAATGCACTATGTTTGTGTGAGAAACAACCAAGGCCGTAAGTGTCTTGCATAAAGGGAAACAATTTGTAACCCTTGCCTTCATGGCAGGGGCTGTCACAGGAAAGCCACATTGGATATCATGGGACCCAGCCGCCCGCTGATATCTAAGCGTGTAGTGGAGTCTACTCAACTGAAAATGTAGTGCCAATAAACTTCAACCAGTAGCTGATGTACAGGTGAATGAAACAGCCACTGCAATCAGAATGGCATGTCGATGGAAAATGCGGACATATGGGTTAAAAAACTATAAAATTGTCAGGTGGTCGCCAACAGCTAATTTGAACCACCCTAAGTGTGTACGTACAAAAAAGAAATGATCAGTAGATGATTAGTCTCATAACTGAGTACACTCAGGAACCGCCTCCTTGCCCCATTAGCTCTTCAAATACTGGCAATAATACCAATCTATTCTGTCAGAGGACACACACAAAGACTAAGATCAAAAATGTAAAGCTAGCTTAATGAAGAGAGAAAGACTGACGCACTGTATGGCAGAAAGGAAGCATACAGTAATCCTATGTGAAACAAGAACACTGCAGGAGAGACTAAAATCTGCAGGAGACGGAAAGCAGCACCGTGATGCTGCAAAGTTTGGAAACAAAATGCGTGTAAGGAAAAAGTATGCGGCGGTAAGATCTCTCATGAGAGAGTCACCTGGTGGGGTCCTGCCAATAATAAACAGAGAGACAGTAAGCAACTGAAAGAAACTTGTCCTCTGCAAGTAGCCAGGCATCAGGTTCAGAACCATCTCATATCACACCAATGCTGTCCTGTTCAAAGAAAAATAACAGGAGGGATGGTGTGGAGAAAAAGCACTGAAGACTCAGGGAGGTGCAGCCCTTCGAATTCCTGGATGCAAACGATGGAGAGTGCATCCTCAGCACTAACAAGTTTGGCCCACAGCAAGTGATCTCTACGGCCATTGCCGTCCTTGCAAAAAGCTGGCATCCTCATGCTGCCATCACGCTATCGACGGCCTGCCGCCTCATTCCCCTGGATAGAATCCGGGATGTAGGCCAATAGGAGTGAGGAAGTGCTGAGGCGAATCATCGGAAAATGCATGGAAGTGGTAAGGACGTGTCAGAGCAGCAGCAGGAGACACAAAGTTTGTGCCGGCCAGCAAGCTGGAGGAAGCTGCCATTCACGCCATGAGAACGATATTTGAGCAACGTGATTGTGA